TGTGTGTGTGTGTGTGTGTGTGTGTCTACTTGCATAAGTATGTGAGAGGTTGGTCACCGTACATTGTGGATGTCTTCCATCAGACACTTGAAGCCTCTGCTCATCGCACACACACACACGCAAGCTTGCACACGTGCACCTCCAATGAATCAGAGTGCCGTGGCAAATTGGATTTACCACGCAATGCCCTCATTATTGTTACCAGGGTAACCAGGCACCCCTTCACAATCATCCCATTTTGTCATCTTTCTTAGAGTGAGGGGGGAAAAGAGACAGTGGCCTGGATGGAGGGAGCAGTGTGCAGGGGGAATGATAGGAGAGAGACGATGTCCAAATAGGTCTCCTTTCATTCGCCTTTCTTTTTCATGTGTCTTCCAGTGTGTTGACTTGAGGACTAGTCCCTGCACAGTTTTCCAAAAGGGACATTTTTTTCTGTCCACTTTCGTTTCCAATCACCTCAGACCCATGTGTCATGGTTTAGCAGAGAAAGTCACACTGACACCAAGAACTTTTTGAGCTGGGTCATCTGATATCTCTGAGCTGAGCAGCATGCACTTACAGAAGTTCCCTGTACTCAATTCAGTTTCCACAGGAGTCATGCAATGGCTTTTTGTGTAGCAGCAATATCTTATGCCGGTAGTGTTATGTTCACCTCTCTTCATTCAGGTTTGTCTGCTTGTTTGATTGTTTCTGCAAATACATTCTGTAGTTCTTAACTGATAAAGGCTTTGCACAATGGTTTGGCATGTATTATGCATTGGAAACCTTAGAGAGAAATAGAAAAGGCTCTCTTTTTCAGCATGATAAATATACTTAATTAAATACCTGTGTATATTCCAGCCAATTAAAAAAAAAAGACAATTAAGTTTCCAATGCAGAATTTCAATCGTCTGATGCTGAGGACTTTCTCTAGTTTTTAGTAGCTGCAGCATCCGTGCAAAAGGGTTGCACGCTTGCACATTAGCTAGCACCATAGAATTAGCCTGGATGCTGATGAGTTGCTGCTCCCATGCTAATGACTGATATTTTCGTCTACAGTAGCGGGCGGCACACTGATGCATATTGTCAGGGCCAGAGGAGCGAGCGTGTAGGAGGCTGAAGCCGCCTATTCAGCCTCCTGGGATACTCATCATCTGGCTCGATTCAGATGCCAAAGAGCTCCTTTGTTTGACCCCATTCAAACAACACCATTGTACCGAGCGGGTCTGATTGTGCTGCTCTTTGCAGTGCAGGAGTAACAAACGTGTGTGTGTGTGTGTACGTGTCGGTTTGCATGTGTTGTGCTTTGGTGGCATTGTGTGTGAATGTGCAGCATTACTATATTGACGTGTGTGTGAGTGTGGGCGAGGCATTGTGTGTTAGCATCCCAGCAGCATGCGTTTGCATTTCCCAAAGCAGGGGGTTTTCTCCAGTGTCTACAACAATGTACCCAGTCATTGAAATGCAGCACGGTAAACGCAGCCTGAACGTGACCCCGTTCTCTGGCTCTGTAAAGTAGCTCATGGTCAGAAGCTGCTGCTGAGAGGGAGAAGTTGGAGAAATGTCTGTAAATACTTGTTTTGAGACATTTCCATAACAGCTTCTAGTCTATTTTTACTGTGAATAACGTAACTTTGCACATAAATCGTGATACAGTCACCAGAGCATGTGATACTGAAAGCAGTGAACAGATGGGAGTGGGACGTATCTGCATTAGTTGGCTGTGCACGCCTGTATCAGTGTGCTCTGTGTTTACTTGCTTGTGGCCAGTGACTCTCTCTCACAGCATCTTGTTTCGAGGATCAGATCACTAAGTCAAAATGTCCCTGCTGTCTGCTGTGAACCACCAGATTGTGATCATTTATAGTAGCTCCAATATGAATTCTAAGCATCTTTATAATCGCTCTGTTTGCAAGTTAGAGAAATATTATACAGCAAAAATTGACTTCCCTAAAATATGTGACACAATTGACACAATTGTTCTTTGTACAGTTTATTGCACCACTTTGTTTATTGTTGCTCCTCCCCTTTGATCAACACGTTTATTATATTTTCTTAATCGTTCATTTTGAACGATATTTCCATCCATTCTGTCATTATTCGTTGGTGCAATAGCTTATTAAGACCCCCATAGTTTTCTTGTTGAGCGACCTCTAGTGGCCACAGTATTTATGACTGGAGCAAAGCAGGAAGTCAGGCGTTTATTATTAAGACGACCAAGGTTGGTACGCCTGCCACCATTAGGGCACTATTTCAGAGGTCGCTCCATTGGTCGTTGGGTTAACCTTGAGGATTCTTTACAGTTGTTCAAGTTAGTGGACTTGTTCTATTAGTTTTGTAATTAATCATTATTTTCTGTATCAATTAATCTGTTGTTGCCATTTTCTAATTGACTTGGATAAATATCAGAAAATATCAATGTAAACATCCTCAAATTGAGAGATTGAGTTTGGGTGATTTGTACGATAAAGAAATAAGGATTAACTGATTTTGATTGATCAGTTTTCAATCAGTCAACCTATTGATTAACAGACTGATCCATTAAGTTTGCATGATTCTCCTTAATGATTCTGTCATATCAAAACCCCCTGCACCACTTTTAAGATCAAGCTGGAGTTTCTGTTTCTTCTGTATTTTAAACAACTAAGTTTCTTTCTTTCTGTTTCAAATCTTCCTCTAAGCAGGAGTTGCAATAACCAATCAAGTTGCTTGAAATGCATATGCTGACATTTCTGAGTCGTGCAGGTTGCCTCACCTGAAAGCTACTACACTTTTTCCTTTGTATGCTGTGTGTGTGCCTGTGTTTGGAGAGGAACAATGTAGTCACAGCTTTGGTTCTCCGCTTTAGACTGACCGAAAATACCATGCACACTCTCTGTCAAACCAATATAACCAAACACCTAACCATAATCAGTTTCTCACCCCACACTCTGCAATGACGTAGAGGAATCACTTCATAACAGCTGTTAAACTGCTCAAAACACATTTCAATCCAGAGTAAATGTTCTTCGTGCGTTTTCAGAGCCACATCCCACCTCTCGATAAATGTGATGTATCTGCATTGTCTGGACGAGCCGCAGTGAAAATGAGTTTGTCTTCCAGTTCACTCCCTTGAGCTGCAGCCTTAAAGGGAGACGACGGCTGGGGAGAGGAAGTCTGAGGGAAAAGTGATAATGAATTGACTTAAGGCCTAGTTTCTATTTTGGTTGAGAATTGGTTTGTCTAAATGGGATGTGAGTCAGAGAAAGTGCACAGAGAAGACAAATGGAGGCATGGTGTAAAAAGGAGGAAGAACAAATCTGTCTTTCTGCTTTTATTTGAATTTTTTTCTATTATTTATCTTTTTCTAACTTGGTAGTGATTCAGGACTGGACACGAATGCTTGAGAGAGAGTAATAAGTGGGCCTCCTGTGGTTGGCACATACATCTTAGAAAGCTGGATGGAAACTATTTCATGGTGTCCCCCTCTATCTCTTGAGCCCATATTTGTTTGGACTTTAAAAGCACAAAAATATAGAAATGTATAAAATAATGTAAAATAGGATTAATATATGTATGTAGTTAAATGAACCTAATAATAACCATATGTATCTGAGGCAAAAACTATGTTGTAGGTAGGATTGTGTGTTTATTAACTGCATCCTGAGCAGCACCATGGAGACATCAGACGTTATCAGTGACACCGAGGCCTCCTTGATGTGGGCCAAGTGGAAAAAATAGAGGGAGCAATCAGTGTGGTCCCATGATTCCTAGTGAGCTGTGAAGGAATGACAAGTAGAGCCAAGCTCACATCCCTCATCCCACATACACGTAAACACACACACACACACACACACACACATTTTCACACCCTTTTTGCTTGTCCTTGCTGACTAAAAATACAAAATTTAATTATTGTTAATCACCAGGTGCTCAAGCTGACTCATTACCATGCTGTGTGTTATGGACATGCACACACAAGCAGAAACACACGTACACTCACATAATGACCCTCCCCGTACTGTACACACACATGCGGACACTTACTCATACAAGTGCTCTCGAAACAGCACAGTCTCACTTCAGCTTTACACAGGATGTTATGAAATCTGCACTGCTGCTGAAACTTAATGAAAGTGGCTGGGAGTCCTCTCTCTCACCCACACACACACACACACACACACTTCTTCTTCTGGCACATTTACACTCACACACATCCTGGTGCAGGGAGCTGAGGCTCAGCTCAGTCCAGTCTTCTCCTGCTCGAGCGAGGAGCCTGCTGGTGATCGGACTGTCTCCTGGAGCTAAGAGGCCAAACCCATTCAATTACAGCCAGGTCGCTCTCTCCGAAGCTCCAGTTAGTCGGCTGAGGGAGACGAGGGGGAGAGAACCAGAGGAAGAAGAGGAATAGGGATGGCTATGACCGACATTGTAGAGGGTGACCTGGATGAGAGGATGCGTGAGGAGGCGGAGGATGTGTTCCAGGACGACGGTAAGCTCGCCAAGGATCAGTTGTGGAGTGTGAGAGCAGGCGTGGGTTTACAGGTGGGCTGCTGGGCCAAGACAGCTGCTCGAGGATTACAGAGCGGTCAGACTGGTTGGTTCGTGAGTCGTGCTTGTGCTCAGGGTTGAGTAGTGAGTGAAAGTGATGGTTGAAGTGTAACCTAGAGGGATCTGTTCAGCTGTGTAGGTGGGCTTATTTGCTGCATATTTGAGTTGGCTCTGATTCACACAGATGAGAAAGAAAAAACACCAATAAATGATTCAACCTATTGTAGAGTAAGATAGAAATGTATGCTTCTATAGTCAGTGTGACGAATCCTTACGATGAGATCTTCATGTCTTCTGTCTCCAGTTCCCCTTTTTGCAGCAGCTCTGCACGTGCACATTTTGTGTATCAGTTTTTTAACTTTTACCCTTTTTAGAAACTGAGAGAAGCCATGCCCTCTGCAGTGTAGGCGTTCTTGTATAACAGGCACATGTTTTTAACCAAGCATTATGCGCCACAATAAAACCTTTTCAACATGTACTTAGTGCATGAGTGTTTGTTATTTTAAAGACCAGCAGTAATCCTAACTATGTGGTCAGTTGGACCCAAGAGAAATGATGAGCAGTAGAACCATCAGTCAGCAGGACTTTGATAATGATTATTTACAGGTAGAAGAAAACAGGTGGAAAAAGGGTACATTTTCAATATCTTTTTATTTTTTGTCTCTGACAAGGATTGCACTATGATGCTTCGTGGCTCAGCACTTGTCCTTCTGTGTCATTTATGTTTAAAGGTCCCTCAATTCACAGAAATAGTTTGACATTTTGTTTAATGGTAAATGTTATGTATTTATATAGCGCTTTTCTCATTCACGCACATTCATACAGTGCAACCATGTGCAGCACTTTTGCTATCACGTGTCTCATACACTGTCAGCACAGCCATCCTTGGCAATTTGATGTTCAGAATCTCGCCTGAAGACACTTTCACATGCGGAAAGGGGGGAGGCTGGGTCCTTCCATTTTGGGTAATATACTCATCTGCTGTCTGGCAGTAGAGTTAAATAAGAAGATCAACACAACTCTCATACCTGTAGGATACAAACTTCAGCCAGTAGCTTGGATGAGCATAAACACTGGTAATAGGAGGAAACTGCTCGCTCTGTCTGACAGTAACTTACCAGCTCCTCTAAAGCTCACAAATTACTGTTAATTTTTTTTTGTTTAATCTGTAGAATAACATAAGTGTAAAAAATAACTGAAAAGATGTTGTCCCCAAGAAATAGTCCATAACCCGTCCTAAAATGGCATAAACATTATACATTATTCCTGAAATGTCGTGGTTTCTTATTATTCATTACTGTCTAAAAATAGATATCTAATTATTCATTGAACTTATACACCACAGTGGTATTCATACAGTTTAAGATATAGTAAATATCTGAGCTCACACAGGCTTTCAGTGCTCTGCAGAAGCTCCTCACATGACGAGTGGACAGCTCGGGAGGATATTCCCTCATATTGCATCATTTGGTGTGTAATGTATGTTAATGCCTCTACTGACCCACTTCTGACTAAGACATGATGTTCGAAACAACACATCCTGGAGATACACAGCCAGATGATTCTCTGCAATAAACCAGCCAATCACAGGGCACGGATGCATGCATAGGCTGGCCGGCAGGCAACAGCGTGTTTATTCATAGACACAGCTGAAGGTTGCAGAATATGGATCTCTTATATTTTATGTTGTAATTAGCTCTTTGGATTCTGTGTTGGATATTTAAGGGTTTCATTCTTATTGGTGCTGCATGCAAATTAACAACCACTGGCCTATTTACTTTTTAAATCATCATAATTATTTGATCTGCAAATCTTTGAGCTGCTCTATCCACAAGATTAGATTTTAATGTTGAATTGATTCAGTTTGAAGTAAAGAATACAGTTAGATTCAAAAGTAGACATTGAAATTAAACATTAGGTTGAAAGATCTTAAACTGGACGACAATTTCTTCACATGTGACCTGTAACAAGGTCATTTAGGGGGTCAGTCAGCATGTTAAAGACTAGCACTGAGTTAACGCTAACATCAGCATCCTATTATGTTCATAATGACAATGCTACCATGCTGTTGTTTGGTAGATATGACATTCACCATGTTCACCATCTTAGTGTAGCTTGTTGGCTTGCTACTATATGCTAGTTTCTAGGATTTAGGCATGAACCAAAATATCGCACAAATTAAAGTTTTGGCCTCATGGTGGTGCTAGATGCAAGTGAGACAACCAAATGTATCACAATCCCTCCTGAGTGGCACGTGGATCTCGTACTATATCTCATGCAGATCAATCTAATAGTTGTTGAGATACTTTAATCTGGACCGAAATTTTGGACTGACCACTGACCATTTCTTTTAATGCTAAGATGTTATTTCATGCAACAATGTTTTTTTTGTTTGTGCTGAGTCCGTGTAAAAATAGCTATGAAACGCACAGAATAAAATATTAAGTGAAAAGATAAAAGCTAGAGGCCACGAAACAATAACCACACTTTATATTTCTATAAGTGTAACCTTCATGTGGCCTGACCTCAGAGTTAAAGGGAGCAGACGCATTAGCTGTCAGCTCTGCATTCACAGTGACAATAGGTTTTAATGGGATAGAATTTGTGGCGCATGCTCAGCTGCGATAAGACATGCTGGGCTGTTTCTGCTCACATCTCACATCCTTAGCAGCCTTATCAGGTGACTCACTGAGTTTTATGTCTTTATGTTGTTTTATATTGCAGAATAAATTAGGAGTTTATCCTGGAAGAAGGTTGCCTGGTTCCGTTCTTTTGAACCACAGCTCACATTTTTTTAGCAGTTCATATAGGTACTGTATAGTGGTGTTGTGCCCATTGAAAGCTATTTTTGCCTGTTGGAGAACCAAACAAGGTTAAGAGGGTGAGATTAGGAATGAGGCTGTTTGCTTTAGTTATTTGGGTCAAATGTCTGTTTAAGGATGCTTTGATGCAGATGAGCATTTTGTCTTTTAAGGTCACTGGGCTCACCACGCAGCTTTGACTTACATGAAGATTTTCACAAGCTTAGAGGTTATAGACTTTGAGTTCAGTTGTATAGGAGAAGGTGAACATATGCAATTCACAAAACATTGATTGAATTGAGATGTTTGACACTAATTGTTCATTGCATTTTATGGATATTGACAAGCTATTTGCAACATATATCTTTTGTATCGACTGAGGGTCTCAGCTCCTTGTAGGTCTCAGCTTACCCCTGATGATTACCCATAAGGCACTGCCATACAACTTCTGCACGAACCCCCTCCTCCTCACCTGAATGGTTTTACACACAGAATCCACAGTCAAAGGCCCTCAAGTAGTTTTACACACATTAGCACAAACAAAACTCTGCTTTCTTCCCTTGTTATCACATTTTACCACACATGCACACAATCTCAAAGATTCCAGAGAAAGATAAATGGCTGAACCAAATGAAATGGAAAAGCAGACCAAAATAAACACAATGGCTTCTTTAACTCCCTCTTCCCCCTCATGAGTAAATCAAAGAGCCTGATTTTTGTCTGCTAGTTTACTGATGTGGTCGGCAGAGAAAAAGCAAGCAGCGTGCTAAGCAAAGTACAAGATACTAGTGTACCTCAGAGGAGAACTGCAGTAGTGAGGCTTTAATGACAGTAAAAATACAGTTGAAAATGAGATTGATGGTGCCGTGCTCAGAATGAACGCTCTGTGTTTGGTGTCCAAATAAACCAGTGTTTGACTTACTGGGTCAGGTCAGAAAGCATAAAGAGCTGCTTTGAGTTACAAGCGAGGAGCTCCAGGAAATGCCTCGGTCATTTATTCTATCAGAATTCCATGCAGCACCTTGAATTATATTCAGACTCAGGAATGAAAATAACTCTTTCATTGACAGGTTGGCCTTGAGAGACTTATAGATGCGCTGCATGTCCCTGCTTTGCATTATCATGTGTTAAACTGGACTAAATCCCTGTCATCCACTAAGAGTTGGTGTTTATCTGCTCTCATGCAGGAATGTCTCATATTGTTCCTGTCCCTTGAGCAATAGGATGCGTTTCAACTCCACCCCTGACTGACAATTACATGACAAAACCACTAATTGCTGGGCTCAACAGCTATTGTTTGTTTTTTTTGTTGGCTTTTTGAACACTTACTGCGGTGCACTGACATGTCAATCACTTAGATTTTATGGGAGTTTCTGTTCAGATCTTTCCACTGATTTTGAGAACGTTTTAAGCCATTGAGACCACGTTTAGGTGAATGTTTGAATAATTCCTAAAGAGAGGTTTTGTGCCCACGCTTTACCTGAATGTGATTAAAGCTTTGATGTGGTGTTTTCACCTCAGCGCTATTTAAGGTGTCACTCCAGACTTTGCCGCTCAGCTTTTCTTTAATGTTCTCAGCTTAACAACACCAGAGATGTTAAAGAGAGAGCAAATAAACCTGAATATGTAAAGTCCTGACACAGGGTGTAGGCTTATGTTAAAGGAGACACGTGACACCACATTTTGAACAGGAACTTTTCTTGCAAGAAATAATATCAAGAAAAGTTATCTATGCTAAAACTGCCTATTAGCCTATCTGGTAACTGTGGCTAATTACTCACCAGGTTTTTGCATTAACGGCTCATTTCAGTGATGGTAAGTAACATTACAGATGTTAAATTTGTTAAAAGTAAATGTAAACACACAGCATTTGTTTTCTAGCTCACCAGAATTGATACTGAGAGATATATGAGCTGTATATTACATGTTTGGTGACCAATTACCCATTAAATGGAAACTTAACTGACATCTGACTGGTTAGAGCACGATTCAATTAACACCAATCCTATCCTAAAATGCTCATGCTGGCTAAAAGGAGAGGAGTAATGTGGGTGTTTGAACGCTGCAGCCACACGGTTACATCTCCATTTCACTTTGAGTACGTTTTAATCAAATCACTCACTCAAATATGAGCTCTGGG